AGTAGAAGCTAGCTGTTTCTCCATGCACGTGGTATTCTTATGTGTTACTTTTCTTCCTTACTTTTTGAGGCAGTTTCCTCTAATTGACATCCCACTCACCTTTCAGTTTCAGAAAGGTTGGCAGTCAGATGGGGGTTTTTTGCCAGTTTAGGTGTATCTCTGAGTATAGTAGATGGATATTGTTAGTTAGATGACTGGATCTGTGTTTCAGGCACCTAAATAGAAGTGGCCTTATTTTTATAGGTGTTCTACAGCAATGTCTCTCACTGCTTGGTAGTCTATTGTGCATTTCTTCCTTCTCAACATTTATGTTGAGAAACCTAAGTTGAATCTCCTTTGAATATTTTGCCAGTTGCGTTTCATTGGGTTAGAATAGCAGCAAATAAAGCAACAGTGAAAGTAAATATAGAAGAGTAAATGTAGAGATTTATTCTAGAATATGCATCTTCTGTAGGCTGTGCACAGTGTAGTTGCATTCATTGTATGACACTCTGCTTCAGTCAAAACTGATTCTGACTGGCCAGCCTTTGAGTTCAGCCTTAGAGAATATTTCGGGCTATAAATGTTTATTAACTACATTCAATATGACCCTTAGAGTGCTGTTCCCCAGATCTCATACATTTTTTCAGTCCTGATATATAAGTAGCAGCAATCTTGGATAAGATCTGACTGGCTGAGAGCAAGTATTTGCAAAATAGCAGGGCAGGCAAAGTACAGATTTCTTCAGTCCAGTGGCAGGGATAGTACAGTCTGATAGACAGAAGGCCGCCTTGCATTTTCAGCCTGAGGTTCAATTTGCAAGTATTTGCAAATATTCAAAGTAAGGCAGTAGCTTTCCTGGAAAGCTGTAGTGAAGTATTACTAATCCCAAGTGAATTAGTGGTTATTAAAAGGTATTCAATGCTAGGATTTTCTTTAATGATTAATACATTTTTCTTATGAATCAGACAGATTCTCGTCTATTTAATTGTAGTTTTGGATCAGTGCTTGGCTGTCATTTTTGTATCTCTCTGACCTGTCTTGACTTGAGGTTGTACTGGAACTAGTTAGTTCTTCAGAAACGAAGACTCTGCTGTCAATTTCCAGCTGTTGATGGTGGTTATGACTTGGCTACCTTATCCTTGGCTTTTAAAGTCAGCCAAATACATAAACAGATACCATTTACCATGTAAAGTGGAGACTATGAATTCTGGTCTTTGACTTTTTTTACTTCTTCAAAGTTAATTCTGGCTTGCTAATGCGGTAGGATTTTTTTTTTAACACCCTTGATTTCAGTTCAGTGTGTTTGTTAGTCATTAGTAATTTTTTTTTTCTTTGTTTGAGTGGGATCATAAGAGAAGAGTTTGAAAGAAGATTTGCCAGGCAATAAACTGGGAAGGGAAAGTTGGAAGAATCATCAGCTGCTCTGGTTTGGCTGCAGTCTTGTTTTATTGTACCGTTAAGTAGTGTCAAGCTGGTGTACTGCTTGGATAAAGTGAATGAGATATGCAGTACAAATTATAGCAAGTATTACTGTTATAGTAAGTATTCTTTCAAATAATTTCATAGCTAATTATACCAAATTATTTTTGAACTGACAGTGTTCTGGAATTGCCACTTAAGGTTTGACTATGTCTGATTATTACAGATCCCATATTGCCAGGATACAGGCTTATAAATCCAATAACATGATCAAGTTTAAACTTGGGGAAAAAAAAGAGGTTATTCCACTGCTTTGAAATTTCCCATGTGATTGTTGTTGGGTCTGAGTCTTCACTTTCTGTCCTAAATTACTGTCTAGTATATATGTTCTTAAGAGCTGCTGTATTTTACTGGAAAGTAGTTGTTTCAGTACTGGGTGATTAGTGCATATGTATACACAGAATTTCTTTATTTAAGATTTTGGGAGCGCGTTTTCCTGTCAAAGATTTTTATAAACCAGGGAATGAAAATATTCAGATTCTTAGTGTAACAACCTTGCTTGTCTCGATGACAAGTGTATTTTACAAGAATACACAAAAGTTTGTGTATTTGACCATTGATGTGTTGCATATCAACCTTACATTTTACTGCATAACCACTCATCCCAAGTGCTCTACTGACATAACCTGGGCAAATCTGAAGCTCTGTGAAAACTGCAGTGTTTTCTTCTGCTTCTCAAATTTCTGATGTTTCGAATTGGTATCTTAATCTGCCATAGGCTTTTATAACCTAATGTTCTTGATTTCTGTGCTTGTCTTAAAAAAAAAAAAAAAAAAAAAAAAAAAGGAGGGGGGTGGCTGCAAAATTTGTATTTATTTTCCTTTGGATTTGTATTGTTAGCACAACTGCTATTTCATAATGGCTTAACGTGCATATGACAAGCAGAAGTAATTTGTTCTCCGATTGCACTGTGGTAATTAAAATTTATATGAGGCACACTTACAAAATTAAGCATTCAGCTGATATTTAGTTCATGTTTGTTTTCTCCCAAGGTAAATGCTACTTTTAGTGAGGGCTGTGCCTGTAAAGTTACCATGCAGATGTGCCTGCATTTCAGGTACATGGATACCTCAGCAATCTGTCCATCCCCACCGGATGAAAATACATTGTTGCTTTACCCTTGTATAATTCAGGAAGGAATAGTGCTGTTTCTTCTTTTTTTTTTTTTTTTTTTTTTTTTTTTTTTTTTTTTTTTTTTTTTTTTTTTTTTTTTTTTTTTTTTTTTTTTTTTTTTTTTTTTTTTTTTTTTTTTTTTTTTTTTTTTTTTTTTTTTTTTTTTTTTTTTTTTTTTTTTTTTTTTTTTTTTTTTTTTTTTTTTTTTTTTTTTTTTTTTTTTTTTGAATTTAAAATGTTTGAGATTAGATCAATTCAGCCAAAAAGAGCTATATTCAATAAACAAGAAGTTGAGGAGGGTGGATAAATGGCAAGCCTTTTGCAGCTCTGATCGTCTGGTTAGCTGTGTAGCAAGTAGTCATTGCTATCATATGTGATAGTGTGGCAGATGAGTAGATAGATAAGTTAGTAGCAGTTGGGCTTTTCCTTTCCTCCACAGACAGAAAAATGTTTCCACTCACTACAGATACTGTAGTGCTGCAGTTTTACTTTTCAGTCTGTGCATGCATATGAGTGCGAGTGATGATGTTAGCTGTGCAGTTAGGAGGTGTTTTCTGAGCCCAAGGCTTTGGAGCCACTGCTTGTGATGGTTGAGGAATGGATTTTGCTGGGGTATTGTGTAGGTGTTTGAGCCCTAAGAGGTGTGATGAGCACATGTACAAAAATGAAAGGTTTAGTGCATACAAACATGTTGGAGTGTAGACTCTTCAGTGCTTTTGTGCTGTTAGAGCACTTCAGTGCAGAAGTGCAAGGTATAACGCATGTGGTGATGGGGGAAGAACGGGAAGCTTCTGTGTCAAAATGCTGGGTGCATCTGTCTCTGGATCTGTGCATCCACACTGTGTTATTGTCAAATACCTATTTTTAGAATGAGTATCTAATTGGTATTCATGCAGATGGGTGTCTCCCTGTCTCATCTGATCCACTCAGATGAGTGATGCACTTGGTGGGAGGTGTCTGCTGATGAATCTTTCCTAAGCAGAGTGTGTTCGTGTTGGTCTGTTCTCTCTTACATATACGTGTTCAATTTGTTACAGAGTGTGTACATAAGTATGTGCACATCTTTGTATGTTTACCTTTTGTATGCACTAGCATGCTCAAAGATACTATCATCTAATCCTCTTAGAAGATTAATTTCAAAAATGAAAGATACAAAACTTGCAGCCCTTCAAGACGTGATTCTTCTCTTTATGCAAAGAATAAGCGCAGAGCAGTGCAGGTTGTGGCCATGGAAACTTAGCTACCTCAGTCTCCAGACTTCAAGGGATTGCTCCTAGTACAGTCATGCAGCCAATTACAAGTAAGAACGATGATCTTTCTGCTGCCTTTTTGTAGTCAGTACTGCAAAAGACAGCATACAAGTTTGTGTGCTAAGTGTACAAGTTCATGCAAGTTCATGCTGCTAAATATTTTCTTCATATAAAAGAATTGTTAAGTAGAACACCCTGGGTACAAGTGCTAGCCATGTTGGACAGGTGTGTTTTATGAGGGGAAATATATAATATTTATGAGAGGAAAGATACGGAGTCTGTTTCCACCCTGTGGCAAGCTTGTTGTGTGACCTTGGACAAGTAAGTTTTTCTTGTGTCTCAGATTTGGGGAAAATACTTGCCTGTTATGTTGTGAATTAAGCAAGATTTAATTCAATAAAATGATATGTATGTTTAGGAAAAGTGGGTTATGGTAATCAAAGCTTTAACTATTATGAGCTTAATATAGTCTGTTCCACCTCGACATGCTAGATGTAATTATCTATATATAGTATTATGCATGATCTTCGTGTTTTAAAATGAGATATGTAATCCTAGCTGTAAGGAATAGGATTCATTATAATGTCACCTGATGCAAAAAGAGAGGCTAGACCTTAGAGAAAAGAATTTCCCCCCAAAATTAAGATAGTCACAGTCCTGACTTTTCCAGATGATCTAATTAAATTGTGGCTTGTATGTGGCATGAAGGAGTATTCACTTTTAGCTGTGATTTTCCTCTAACCTGACACAGTAAACCTACTGGATTACAGGTAAACTTGGTGAAGTGTCCCAAGGTTATATTGCTTACATAGTAAATGAGTGACTGTGATACAGCTGCTGAAAAGGCTCCACTTCCTTTAAGTAGATCTTAGTTCTTTACCTGAGAACAGTTGGGATGCTCTGGGTAAGACTGTCGTAGCAATGTTACCATCAGCACTGTCCCAGCTACTATCATCGAGGATGGTCCTCCCAGAGACACAGTTATAGGCCTTTTTGGATTATTCTGTCGGGCTGTGAATAAAGTATATGAAGTAGGATGATCTTCACACAGGTATTTGTGATAGGGGGAGAAGCAGAGGAGGAATGCAAATGGATGTTTCTATTCTTAGGGTTCACCTTGTTTCTATCTCAGGAGTTCCCTTTCTGCTCCTTTCTCCTCACAGATACTCCTGCTTCCAGTATCATGGCCTCTGACCTGGAAAGCAGCCTCACTTCCATAGACTGGCTCCCACAGCTTACTTTAAGGGCTACTATTGAAAAATTAGGGGGTTCCTCACAAGCAGGACCTCCAGGGGCTGCCCGAAAGTGTCCCCCAGGCTCACCGACAGATCCTAATGCCACCCTGAGTAAGGATGAGGCAGCAGTGCACCAAGATGGGAAGCCACGTTACAGCTATGCCACTTTGATCACATATGCCATCAACTCATCACCTGCCAAGAAGATGACGCTTAGTGAGATCTACCGTTGGATCTGTGACTTTTTTACTACAAAAATGCTGGTATTGGTTGGAAGGTGAGGACTTGCATTGCAAAAGTACCCTTTTTGCCTACTTACAAGACACTAACTCTGTGCAAAATATCCTCACTGAGCAAAATAAAAAAGATGTGCAACTAAGTTGACCAACTGGAGAAAATGCAGAGCCAGAAGAGAAGTCCCATTTACTCTGAGAATTTTATTGTATGTGTGTGGTGGCCCCTTAAGAAGGAGCCTGCAAAAAAAACCCCACCAACAACAACCAAGAAAAACAAAATAAAAAACCCCCACAAACCCCACATTACCACCAACCTCTGTATCACACCAATACTATTTTCATTGCACCTTCTGTAGATGTATAGGTGGTTTAACCCCATATTATTCATCCTAATCAATCCCTCTCCTATCCACAGCTTCTGTTCTGCCCCATTCTGGGTATATGTAGTGAGCTTTGGCTTTTGAGTATGCACTATTCTTCTATTTTCTCTACGTGCTCCTGGGCATACTCAGAAGGCTGTATGTTTTTGTTGTAGCACTTACCTGTATCTCTCAATCTCTCATCAGAACTCTATTCGTCATAACCTCTCTCTGAATAAATGTTTTCGGAAGGTGCCTCGACCGAGGGATGATCCTGGGAAGGTAAGAAATCTGCATGCTCCTGGACAAGCAATTTAAAACTGCAGGGAATAAGCCAGGGTTGCCCTTTCTAACTCATGGTTGGAATTTGAAACCTAAAGTGTAGGCAAAAATGGAAGCAGTAGTAAGATTTACTGCAGGGCTTTGGCTACAGAAGCGCTCACTTAAAGGGAACATGTGAAGGGGCCTTAATGGTTCTAGCAATTATTTTTTCTTAACTGTGATCTTCAATTGACTCTAAAGATACTGGACGAAGGAAAAAAATGAGGTTGAATGTAGTTTCAGTTTTGTTTCTTTTTCTTCTTGATTTTTCTGTGTAAAATGTGGGTCTAGTCCAACCTGTTCTATTATGAAAGACCATAGTGGCTGCTGGTGAATGGCAGGACTATGACGTGACATCATGGGTTTCGTGGAGGCAAGGTCCATGGAAGTGAGAGCAGAACTACTACTTATTTAGACTGTAAAACATTTGGTGTTGGGGAAAAAATGTTACCATCAGATAGTTCAAATCTGTAGAAATCAGTTACAAGTAGAACTCAAGAATTTAGGAATTTGTTGGCTAAGTAAGGGCTAATAAAGCTCTGATAGTTTATATAGATTGTAAAGGGGAATTGCTAGCAAAACCAAGACTTGGCATCTTGGCATGTAGATACTACTGTTAAAAAACAAACAAGCAGAAGGAGATGTTGGGGACAAGCAGCTATGTATTCAGACAGAAAGTTTGTCTCTTTACGCCCCCATCCTAAAGTTACCAGAAAGGGCCTCTTGTGCAGGCCTTTTATTTCAGGTTATATTTAAAGGACTAAGTGGTGTTCAGTTGACATCTATAAATGGAAGTAATATATCTTTGAAGATCTGTGCTCAAAAATACCATTGATTATATGGCTTATTCCAGGAAATCCTAACTGACTTCACTGTACATGTTTACAGGTGCTCATTGACATGTTGGACTGGTTTATATTGTTTTTCACTGACTATTCAGATTTCAATTGGAAGTTAAAATGAGCTAAATCACATTCTAAAGTTCTCTTTATACTGATTCAGAAAACAACAGACATAATTATAGACTATTTTATGTTGAAAGGGACCTCTGAAGGTCAGCAAGTGCCTCCACCCTCCTCCCAGACAGAGACAATTAGATTGAGTTGTTGAGGTGTTCACTGAGCTTTGAATATCTCCCAGGATGCAGATACAACAACTGGGAACTTGTTCCAGTGCTGCATCACCACCATTGTGAAGAATTTTTTTCTTTATATCTGATTGTAATTTCCATTGCTGTAACTTGTGTTTGTTGCCTCTTATTCTTGTGCTGTGCATTTTTGAGAAGAGTTTGATTCTGTTGTCTTTATAATCTCCTTACACAATTGAAGACAGTTGGTTAGATTCCCTTAGCCTTCTATTGTCGACGCTAAACAGATCTTTCTGTGTGTACATGCATGTACATCCTGTGTTTTAGTTCCTGCCTATTGTGGTGGCCCTTCTGTGGATGCATTCTAGAACATCAGTGTCTGTCTTACACTGGGAACCTCCCAAATGGGTACAGTACTCAAAGTGGAGTATCACCACCATAAGAGTGATCCTTCTAGCTGCCTCTGCCCAGTCTGAACATTGAATTGGTTCTCATCAGTCAATAACAAATTCATGTTGTGAGGAAGGCATTGAAAGGGGTGTGCAGGCTCAAAAGAGTTGGTCTAACTTGGATCAAAATGTCCTTTGCTCTTCTCGGTGTCCTGTCTCAGAGTGATAGAAATGTAGAGCATTCTGCCTTCCCCCAGTAGCATCATACCTCATTGTTCAGTACACCCCAATGCAAGAGAGGAATCTCCTTCCAACACCCAAGTCTCAGCAGTCTGAGGTTCTGGAAGGTGGTCATTGTGGTCCTAGTGTTTAGTGTGTGCTGGGTTCTTTGAGTCAGTAACCCCCTGCTGCAGGAAGCTCTCTGATTTAATCATGCATTCACCAATGGGTCTTCTTTCCAGGGCTCTTATTGGACAATAGATACGTGTCCAGATATATCTCGCAAGAGGCGGCATCCTCCAGATGATGACGTGAGTGTTGTTCTTCCCAGACAGCATGGAGCAGGAGGGGGAATTTCCCGCTTGTTCCAAGGAGTCCTTCCAGCACCAGACCATGCTATTGTTTTGGGGGCAGGGTATACAGATGGGGAGACAAAGGCTAGGACTGAATTAACTAGCATGTATGTCCTGCTGATTGGCTGTTGTTGCTGGTGTTCAGTAGCAAAGTTAATCTTGTTTAAAGTCATTTATCCTGACTCTTTAGTGACTAAGGCCCAGTCCTTTTCTAAGCCATGAACTTCTACAGTGGGGGAGCTGGCTTCCCATCTGCAGTTTCACTTCTCCATCTGCTCTTGATTTCTGCTCCTTTCCTTTTCTCTTTCTTCCTATCCACAGATACCACAAGACTCCCCAGAGCAAGAGGCGAGTAAGAGCCCCCGAGGGGCTGTTCCAGTCAGCTCAGAAGCCTCTTTGCCACCTGAGGCCACCCCTCAGCTGTCACTCCAGAGCACCACCCCCATTGCCAACTACAGTCAGGTGAGCAGCTGGGAAAAGGATAGAAGCCTTACGGTGGGGGGGAAAAAGGGGAAAAGGAGAGGGGAAGGGGTGCATGAATGGAAAAGCAAAGTGGTGAGAAGAGAGGGAATCATGAAAATGATGATACAGAGGCAAAAATAAAAAGAAGGGAAGAAGCTGAAATTGCACAGACAGAAAATAAGGAGGAAGTGAATTTTAACACGGGGCTGGATGGGGATAAGGAATAAAGGCATGATGGTGTTAGATAGCTGAAGAATAGGCTGGAGCCAGTCTGCTGCAGAGGGAGGGCGGTGGTTGATTTTTGTCAAGGAAGATGGCATTTGGGAAGATTTGCTGGGAGATGAGCTAAGTGATATGGAATATCAGTGCATGTTCTACCTGTGTCTAGTCTCTGGATCCCTGTCTCAAGTTACAAAGACTAGTGCAAACTAAAGGCCTTACTTCTACCTTCCTTAGCAGAGTGCGGGGCCTGTGGATGTTGCCTCTACTGTAGCAGGGGGGCAGGGCCGTGAAGGGGCTGATGTGCCACCCCCGCTGTACAGTGCCAACCATGACTTCAAGTTCTCCTACTCTGAGATCAACTTCCAGGATCTTAGCTGGTCCTTCCGAAATCTCTACAAATCCATGCTGGAGAAATCATCTTCCTCTCAGCACGGTGAGTAACCATATGCGTCATGTGGGGTGGGCAGGTATCTGCCCACACAGTCTTGTCCACTGATCTATCCTTGGTATCTCTCAGATCTTTCCTCGTTTAGGAGCCTGTGCAAACAGACTTTCCTTCTTTGGCATGCTGTAATTAGTTCTGCCAGGAGCAGATAAGAAATCTGCATGTCCTTTATCTATTGCTCCCCTTAGCTTTCTCAGAATACAGAGGATAACGATTTAAAAATACCTCGTGTTGATACAAAAGCAAATACTGAAATGGCAGACACTTAGAGAAATGAAGTCCTGAAGAAAAGCATGTCGGAGCAGTATTCACAATCTGTCAGGCTAGAAACCATAAGAGGGAGGGGATTGTTCCATGTAGGCAGTGGAGTTTCTCTGAAAGGAGAGCGGAAAGTCATCATTTCTCAGATCTGTTAAAAGTAGGATTGTACAAGGCCTTAGAGAATTGAGCTTTGTTGGATTGAAAGCATGGAAGAGCGAGCCTACAACTCCATTCATAGCTTGCATTTCTGGGACTGAGGGAGCAGCCACCAGAGGGCAGAATCGCTGTAGGGATGAGATGTGATGTCCACAGAAAACACTTCAGAAAAATCTCCAGTTGTTCCCACCTTGAAACACTCTTCTAAATATTAGCCTGATGTAAAAAGGAATATATTAATAGATGAGCCTCTCACCTGTCCTGTCAGCCATCATATAGTGCAGGCAAAGTTTGCTACTCTAGGAGAAGCCTCCTGAACTTGTAGTTTCAGTGAAATAAAAATTTATTACTTTTACTGCTTTTATTATGCTGGCACTTGAGATTCCTAGTAAGAGCCTGTTGTGTGAGATGTAGAATGAGCAAGCTACAAACTACTCTGCAAAGTAAAACAAAAAAAGGAAGCCTTCAGAGAGTGGA